CCATTTAATGGGGAAATCTTTTTGCCTCTCATTGATGATGATATAAAAAACATTGCATGATGAAACCTTAAAAGTGTTATTCCAAGCGTGTAATATCTTGAGTGTATTTGTACCTTGCCTTTAATAATTTAACTAAAGTGTTAGTAGATTATGGTTTAACGCGCTCATTCACGTCACACACTTTTGCATCATGATTGAGTGTTATACCTATTTTCTTATGAAGTATTTTGATGATATCTATACCTTCTGATGATGTATCACTTTCTAATGTTTTATATAAAGGTTATATAGTAATGATAGATGGGAGGGAACTAATATACGTAGACTTAATACTTTCAAATGTGAAGGATTTCAATATAATACTAGAGATGGATTGGTTTGCAACTTACCATGCAACCTTAGACTACTACCATAAGAAAGTTGTATTTAATATTCTTAATGAAAAGCTCTTTACCTCCTAATAGAATGGTGTTGTTGATAACAAGTTATTGTCAATACAATTTGATTTTCATAAACTGTTAAATCTAATGTGTGAAAAATAATGTGTTAGGCAATAAAAATAAAGAGATTAATCTTCAAAATATACCGATAGTATACAAATTTTCAAATGCATTTCTTAATGAACTTCTAAGGCTCCCACTGGATCATGAGATAGAGTTCTGTATTAACTTACAGTCGGATTCTCAGCATATCTCTATTGCTCTTTACAGATTTGTAAGGGCTAAGATGGAAGAGTTAAAGAAACAGTTGAAAGAACTCCAAGATGAAGGATTCATTCACCCCAATACCTATTCTTGGAGTACTCCTATAACATTTACGAATAAGAGATATGGAACCTAATAAATGTGCATTGATTACAACAAATTCAATTGAGTCACCAGTAAGAATAAGTATTCTCTGCCAAGGATTGATGATCTTTTTTATCAACTGCAGGATGCCATGATCTTTGAGGGTTTTCCATCTATATCTAACTCTATATCTGAAATGTTGGTGAACCACTCCCTATGTATGAGGTTAGCATTCCCTCTCACGAGAGTGATTCGCTATATGATATGTATGGGCCATAGTGGCGAAGTACGATCGTGGTCATTAGTTTATACCTAACATGGAAATGGAACTGAATATTACTTATAATGGTAGTTAGGATCCCCTATATCCTCAGTGGATATATGTCGAAATGGTTTCACGTGGAGGTCAGTAAAAGATGTAAATAGAAATCAACTACTCGATAATATGACTAGGATAGTTGCCGATGCATTATGGTGGATTTGTATGATTGTTCTTTTGTATTTTATCATGATCTTGTTATGCTCAGATCTTTGAGGGTTTTTCGTCTATATCTAACTCTATATCTGAAATGTTGGTGAACCACTCCCTGTGTATGAGGTTAGCATTCCCTCTCACGAGAGTGATTCGCGATGTGATATGTATGGGCCATAGTGGCGAAGTACGATTGTGGTCATTAGTTTATACCTAACATGGAAATGGAACTGAATATCACTTACAGTGGTAGTTAGGATCCCCTATATCCTCAGTGGATATATGTCGAAATGGTTTCACGTGGAGGTCAGTAAAAGATGTAAATAGAAATCAACTACCCGATAATATGACTAGGATAGTTGCCGATGCATTATGGTGGATTTGTATGATTGTTCTTTTGTATTTTATCATGATCTTGTTATGCTCAGATCTTTGAGGGTTTTTCGTCTATATCTAACTCTATATCTGAAATGTTGGTGAACCACTCCCTGTGTATGAGGTTAGCATTCCCTCTCACGAGAGTGATGCGCGATGTGATATGTATGGGCCATAGTGGCGAAGTACGATCGTGGTCATTAGTTTATACCTAACATGGAAATGGAACTGAATATCACTTACAGTGGTAGTTAGGATCCCCTATATCCTCAGTGGATATATGTCGAAATGGTTTCACGTGGAGGTCAGTAAAAGATGTAAATAGAAATCAACTACTCGATAACATGACTAGGATAGTTGCTAATGCATTATGGTGGATTTGTATGATTGTTCTTTTGTATTTTATCATGATCTTGTTATGCTCATAGTTGGTTCAACTAGTTACAATTTCAATGCCTAATTATGTCTTAACTACCTTGTTTTCCTCTCTACCCTTACTGCTTGGTATGTTAAAAATGTCTAAATGATTTTCTTGAGAAAGGTAAAGGTTTTTCTAAATATTTAAAAATAAAGTGATCCTACGACGAACGGCTAAGGTAAGTCATTTATTAAGGACATTATAATTTAAAAGTTAATAACTTTTAAAAACCTTAGTAGTGTAGTTTAAATACTATTTTCCTTATTGAGTTATGTGAGTTTAGGAGATTGAACCCTCATTCCTTTGACTATGGACCTAATCCCTTGGCCGCATAAGCATGGATTCTGCAAATTGAGGAACTTTTCTCTATCTTTGATTTTGTTGAGGAACAAAAGGTCCTTTAGCAGCTTTTATGTTTATTGGTGAGACCAAACATTGGTTGTAGATTAAGAAGGATGTTTTGCTAACTCCAACCACCTGGGATATTTTCATGGATACTTTTCTTGAGAACTTTTTCCATATTTGTATTTGGGAGAAAAAAGAGGAGGAATTCTAAGACCTGTGTCAAGAAAATATGACTATTAACCAATATGCTACCCAGTTTTTTTGGTTGTCCTGGTTTGGTCCTATGATGATAGCTCACTAAAAGCCTATAAATTTTTAAAGGGTTTCAAGGTAAATATATTTAACCGCATTGTTATACTGAAGCTCAGCTCCTATGTTGAGGTTCTTGATCATGCCCAGTTGGGCAAAGAACTCATTGCGGCCTGACATCAGCCTATTACCCATATTCGTGCACAACAATAGCAAAAGAGGAAAGTGATTGACCCTGGCCCTGACCATGTTGATAAAAGACCCTATTTAGTGCCTACTACTGCTTTGCACCCACCTTTTGAAAACCCCATTCAGGAGGAATTCCAAGACCTATGTCAAGGAAATATGACTGTTAACCAATATACTGCCTAGTTTGTTCAGTTGTCCTGGTTTGCTCCTATGATGGTAGCCACTGAAAGCCTAGAAATATTTGAAGGGTCTCAAGGTAGATATCTTTAACTGCATTGCTATACTGAAGCTCAGCTCCTATACTGAGGTTCTTGAGCACACCCAGTTAGCCGAAGAACTCATTACGGCCTGACATCAGTGTATTACCCATATCCGTGCACAACAACAATAAAAGAGGAAGTTGATTAACTCTAGCCCTGTCTATGTTAATAAATGAACTCGTGTAGTACCTGCTACTGCTTTACACCCTCCTCCTGAAAACCCCATTCAGTCTGCCTAACCATGTCGACATTGCAAGCGAAACCATGGTGACCGACTCTGTCACCATTTGAATAACTCTTGCTACAAGAGCGAGAGCACACAACACTTTATGAGGGACTATTCCCATAAACCGTAGGACACTGTTAGACCCGTCGCACAAGGAAGAGTCTTCCACCTTGAAGAGTCCGGTGCCATAGCTACACTATCTATCATTCATGATACACTTTTTATTTACAACTCTACTGCCCGTGCTTTGATAGATAGTGCTACCCAGTCTTTTGTGTCATGTAGCTTTGCAAGAAATTAGGAATTAAATTAAACCCTTAGGACAAGTTTTTGTGGTTAAAACACCCTTTATACGACTTTTGGAAGCCTATGTTATCTATAAGAACTGTAAAGTGAATATTTCAGATAAGGAGTTAACCATAGATCTTAACTATCTTGTTTTCCTCTCTGTCCTTATTGCTTGGTTTGTTAACAATATCTAAACGGTTTTCTTGAGAAAGGTAAAGGTTTTCTAAACATTTGAAGATAAAGTCATCCTACGATGAACAGCTAAGGTAGGTGATTTATTAAAGATGTTTTAATCCAAAAGTTATTCACCTTTGAAAACCTTAATAATGTAGTTTAAATACTATTTTCTTTACTAAGCTATGTGGAACTCACCCAATTTATGGCCTCCTCATATTATAGAAGTGATATTCACTCGTTGAGTTGCATCTTGAAGCTTGTTTGGATCCCTTCATGGATCCTTAAGATGATTACAAGTGCCATATTTTGTCCGCTCTGATGGCACCAGTTGTAATGATAGAAGTGGCTCTTATAACTTTTGTGGACATAAATTTTGATAGACGTCTTCTTGGCCTCAGTTGTAAACATTAAATTTATGTTTTATTGTAAGAGATTTTATTTTCTGCTGCATACATATATTTTATTACTTGCACTCGTATCTATTTATGTTATCGGCCTCCTTTTTACTCCACCAGGTGTCTGGGATGTCACACACGTGTAAATGTTATGCAAGTATCACCTGGATCCATCTCATGTACTTCAGCATGAAGATCTTCTTATTGAAAAGGACCTGTCCTATGAAGAAACACCAATAAGCATATAAGATAAATAGGAACAAGTGCTAAGGAACAAAACTATTTCCATGGTCAAAGTACTCTGACAGCATCATTCTTAAGCAGAGGCTATCTTGGAAACTGAAGACTCGATACGAGTCGATATCCTCATTTCTTTTAAAGCTTGTAACCAAATTTGGAGGATCAAATTTTCATAAGGGGGAGTGGATTGTAATATCTAGTTCTAATTAAATGTAAATTATATGTAAAAATAATTTTAAAATGTTGTAAATAATTAAATAAATATGAAGAAATTAAAATTTAGAAATTAAATTAATTAAATTAAGACTTGAGGGTTTAATTGAAGGAATTATCAGAAATTAGAGGTCTTTTAAAAATTGAAAGGACTTAAATGAACAATTTTCATGAGGTCAAAACCATAATTAATAAAGAATAGGAGGGCAGATGGTGAAATCAAGGATAGACAGTCAGGATTAGACCCCTTAAAAGCCGATCCAATGGCTATCAACTTAGATCCACTTAAACAGCTTAGATTGGATCTGATGTGATCAGAGAGTGAGGGCTCAGGCAATAAAAGGGGCAACCCTAATCGAGTTTAACCTCATTTGAAAAAGAAGAGCCGAAATTGAGAGAGGGAGAGAATCGAGTTCAAGTGGAAAGAGAGGAAAGAGCATCGAAAGCCGAAAAGAGAGGGAAGAGGATAACGATTGAGAAATGACTGTATTGTAGAGGTTGCAGGTCAATGGAGAAGCGAAGGAGAGTGTGAGAGAGGGGAGAGTGTGAGAGAGGGGAGAGCGAGAGAGAGAAGGGAGAGTGGTGAGAGAAGGAGGAATGCCAGTGCAGATGATTCCTTTTTTTGGATTTTTTTGCTGTAGGGTTAACAGGGATGAGCTTATGACGTCGCACTAGCTGTGCAATCTCGGCCTTGTCGCTCGCCTACTCAGAAGTCGAGGAGTTTTTCCTTCGGTGTTGGAACCCGATACTCCCGGGTTGAAACCAAGGATTGCAAGGGAGCATACCACTCACCCTTACGCGGTGAGCCGAGCATTCCTGTAAGATTATTGCCAGAACCCTGACTTTAGTCAAGTTTAGCCTGGTTTAATATTTAGATTGAATTAATTAGTTTGTGTTGTATGTGTACAGTGAAATGAGGAGGTTCAAGCAGATTCATGAAGGTTATTGCTCAAGGAGTTTGTAAATATCCCGTATTTTGAACCTAAGTTTGGGATTTTGAATTCTATGCATATAGATTATTTATTTTATGGGTGTTTGAGCATAGAATACGTACTTGATTGATACACTGAGAAGAACATAAACTTGGACACCCTCCAAGCAATGTGAACCTGCTGGGATAGAGTTCAAAACATTTGATCTACGATGGTTGCATGTCTATATTTCTATTTCTATGACGATTGTTGGATGGTAGGACTATGATGTGACCTGACATGAAAAAGGACCAAAAATTCAAGAATTGTGATAAAAACGAAATAAAATTGTAAAATGAAAGTGATTATATTTGAGGAAATAAGTGAGTAAAATTAGTGAGAGAAAAAGAGATGTTATTGATTAAGGAATAACAAAAGAAAAATAAAAATAAATAAAATACCTTAAAAAGTAATTAAAATTAGAATTAATAAGTCA